TGAATAGCGAGTTTTGGGAGACTATGAAATGAGAAGACCAGGACTCCTGTATAAGACTGGATTTGGGTGGGATCATCATGGTTAGCACATGCTACTTACCGTGCTGGCCTTTTCCTTTGTCTTGTTCTTGCTTGCAGGCTATTCCAGAATGTCGGAGTTAAAACTGGAAGCACAGGATAGGATCATTCATGACGTATAAGCTGTCTCTAACAGGGATACTTTTACGTCTTTGTGGTGTGTTTATGATCGAAGGATTCCACTGGCAGTATAAAAAGGGGACTGCCGTCCAAGTGTTCTCTTCATTGAGATCCCTTTGGCAATGGGGAGAACGGAGTTTGAATCCTGATTCTGTCACTCGGTCGCTGTGGGTCCTTGGATACGTGTCTGTCGAGGGGTTTGTGGTCTTTATGTCCACTTCGATACTCTGCTTACCGCTCACTGCCATTGAGTCGGTGCAGCTCACAGTGACCTGCTACCATTAGGGATCCCAAAGAAAAATCAAGTCTTACTGCCCAGGAGTTTACCATTTTAAAGGGGGTCAGTCATACAATGACACTCTGATATGTTGGGGGGGCTTCAACAAGTGCATGGAGAAATAGGGTTAAAAGGTAAGTGAATTGTTCCAAGAACATACCATAATAGCTACAGGGAAGCTGTGTAGACCAGATGCTGTAGGACCACAAAAGATGCCATTTCTTAAAGCTGACCCCAGAGTCTAAGAGAGTTTTATATGTCTTCTTCCCTGAATGCATTAGAGGAAGATGATTAATAAAAGCTAAATGGGGGAGAGGAACCAGTGATATAAATTTAGTAAAAAATGGCCACCAGTATTGATAACCACATGAAAATTGCACAGCAGAAGTTGGGGAAACCAATTTATTCCGCACTTGGTACTGATTGCCCACTAGGTTCAGTGAGTAGGGGCTGTAAAAATGGCTTCACAGCTGGATGATGTAGAGAAGACGGAGAGTTTGATTTTTAACAAAAAGCTGGAGAAGAACTTGGAAATCTGAAACCCTCCCCTGCTCTTACTACTTTGACAGCTGTCTCCACGATGGCTGTTCTATGTGAAACTGGGTCTAGGAAACAGACTCTGTGGAATGTTGCTTTTCCAAAGACAAGTAGAATTGGGATAGCCTGTCTCAGAATCAACTTATGAAAAAACAATGAAAAGAATATATAAACAGCTGAGTTAAAAAACGGATTTTGTTGTTACTGAGAAAGTACAAAACAGCTGACTTGAAGAACTGACTTCGTTGGTATTGAGAATGTGTACAACCAGACTACCAG